TCTAATAAACAATTAATGTGTAACCTGTCGAAACTCTGTCAATTGATTTCTGGAGGAGTTTCTCCCACAACCTTAGGTATACTAAAGGATATACAAGACCAATAAAAAGTTGTGGGACTAGGTGTCCTGCACTATATATAGGAACTTCTTTATTTGAACATTCTCTTTCATAAAAGATTTTGGTCATCATCTTCATGTTTGTTTTATCAACGTTTCCAGTTGTTACGTTTTATTTTTATTTTTTTTTAGTTTTTGATCTTATTTCATGTTTGTTTATTAACATTTTCAGTTGGTTGAAACCTTTTTATCATTGATATTAGTATCGGCAACATCTAATCATTATAACCAGGATCTTTTACCACTTCTACCTGTTGCTTCTGTTGTTGCTGTTGATAAATGGAGGAAGACAACATCAAACGTGTTTGTGAAGAGAAAGTTGACAAGGAAGAAGATAATGCCGAAGATATCCGTGGAGAATTTGTTGTGGTTGATGATGATGATGATAATAAACTGTGAAATAATCTTGATTCTACACTCTTCAATCTTTTAGTGATGGAGGCAACTTTGTGTTTTTTATTTGTGCTGTTGGATGATGATAATGATAAATTCCTTGGATTTAAGAATGCCTGTTTGCAATAATAGCTTCTCGCTTCTCACCAACATACAAACCTTCAGAATCATGAAACGTGATACTTTTGCTTGTGTAATCTGCTACCGATAACTCCACATCTTTTTTATCCTTGTCTTCTTTCGAAAAGCATTGTACACTTGACGTGAAATCTTAAACATCATCTATCTTGATAACTTCATAACCTCTTCGGAAAATGTCATTGCCAATGGCAAGGATTCTTAAGGCTTCTCCAGACCATTGATCTGTATGTCGAGTTTGATTGCTTGGTGAACTACGAACTAATAAATAATATGAGAGGATATAATTAATACATTGAAATATTATCCTACTTGCAGCAGAAAACCTACTTTAATTTGGCATCAAAAAAAAGATCCCACAAATGAATATACACAACCTTTAATTATATCATGAAATAAATATCCATTAAACATCTTGAATTCTAAATAACCAAAATCTCTCATTTAGCCAAAACACCACCTCGCCAGAGAATGTTTCATTAGTTTTTGTAGTGATTTCTATCAATCTGATCATGAATAGAATCAACGACATTTTTGATGGTGATAAAAAAATTTGCAGGTAATAAAATAATAAAATATTACATTTATTGTTGTCATTTGGCGCTAGTATTTATGACTTAAAATAATCAACAATAAAGTAGAATTATAATCAGCATACACACGAGAACCAAGTAATTCTTTAATAGATAAAGGTGTTGTAGATTTACAGGTACGTCAGTGTCAATGCGTTTCCTGCGACGCCTTGCTGACATTTTGAGAGTAGCATAAACAAAGGATAATTAGAAACATGAAAATATACGAAACACTAAAAAACAAATACATATACTTTTTTTTATTAATTAACAAATTTAAATGTAAAAAATGTTTACTTGTCTGTAATATTGCGAAATCACACAAAGGCCAAGCTTATTGGAAGCATTGAATAGCATTTCATAAAAATGTGGTAAATAAATTGATAAAATCCATTACATTTTTTTTAGTAGTATCGTACAACCAATTCATGTTTTGGAAAACCCAATATAAATACTTTAAATATTATAAATTTACAACCAAGGCGTCAAACAACACCACGCATGTTTAATGTTAAAAATGGCGTCGATCATTGTCGTGTTTATTTACAGCTTCTATCAATGCGTTGAACTACTTTTTTTCGCACACAATTTAAATATAGCAAGAGAAACCAATTAATTGAAGATGCAAACGGAAATTTAATTTTTTATTTATAATTTAATTAATATACAGTGTGTTAAGAAAAAAATTGGCCTCCGTTTTTTTATTGTAGTTTTATATAGAATGTTTTAATTTTAAA